TAAAATTTACTTTAACTTCTCAAAATGCCTTTCAATGAATGGAAAATGATTCTTTACATGATGATCAACTCTTTATTTTGTATGAAGCAGTGGTTTTCCTCACATCTTTTCTGTACTTTTGTTACAGGGAACAGCGACCCAGATACCGGACACTGTCCCACGATGACACTTCTACCACCCCCACCATAGCCATCAGCTCACTACCCACCCATCAGGACCCAGAATTCATGGCCTGGATTCAGGAAAGACTGTTTGGCAAAGACACTGAACCTGGTGCTATTGTGGAACAAGTTCTGAATGTTCTTTGGTGTGGTGTTATTCAGTTCACCAGGCAGGAGTCCTTGGTTCCTTGCTGTGCTGTTCTGTCTCAGCGGAGAATCTTCATCTTACGACTGAAGCCAGGAGAGAGTGGGTACCCTGATGTGCCAGACATTGAGACCTTTTATATATTACCCCTTTGTAATGTGCAGGAGATTGTGATTGGTCCCTGCTACAGCTATATCAGACTGGAGGAGTCGTTTGTTGGGGCCAGTGGTACGTTTGTACTGATAGCAGCAGACCCTGATGATGGGAAGTCTTTTTCAGATAGCATTACGTCAGCTTACAGTGGTGGGGATCTAGGCCCTCTCAATCTCTTAAATTGTTCACAAAATTCAGACTTAGCCTCCCATATATTTTCTTTAGAAGATTTGGAGGGACTTTGCACAGGACGAATAGCTTATGGAATGTATATCACCATTGCAGGGGTGGAGCAACCAAGTCTCCTGATTCTATCAGAGAACAAAGTTTACCTTGTCCATATAGACTGTCTGTTCTGGCCAAGGCCTTCTTTCCTAAGTGTGCTTGAAGACATAAAAAATCCTAACTTTACATTCCTTCAACATCATTCCATCACAGCCAAAATGAGTGACATCAAGTTAAATGTGAAACTTAAGCTTTCTTCTAGATCAAAGAAAACATCTACTGTGGACACTTCCCTTATACAATTTGAAAAATATGGTCTGTCCATCATATTCCATGAACTTGCAGGTCCAGTTGGTTTGCATCTTTACTTCTTTTCAACTAAAGCTAGAGATGGCTTTTTGGATCGATTGACCAACTTGAGAGCTGAGCATGCACATAGGTTGTCACCAACAATACGAGAGGAACCAGAAGGGGGAAATGAGTCTTCTGACAGTCTAGACAATACCAGCTCAACACAGCTTCCTATCAGTCCCCCAAAGGAACCTCAAGATGAGGCTTTAGTGGAAGAAGATAAGGTTGATAGTGTGAGAGAAGAAAACACACCAGACATTATAGAACAAGAGTTCCTAGCTGGAGCAGTGACAGAAACTGATGAGCAATGCTCCAAAAGTCGTGCAGCTACCATTTCTGGGGTAACACTAAAAGTGTCAACCACAAAGGAAGAAACGGTACCTAAGATAGATTATCTGACTGATGAACTCTGTGAGCAGCTGACCACATCCATCCAAAAATACTCTTTAGCAAAGAAAATGCCCTCTAAACTGAAAGTTCTGAGAAATATGACTGGAAAAGAACTTGTACAGTATTTCCATTCTGATATTGCAATGATTGGGGTGGATTATGAACAGCTTCATTTTGTACTCTGGTCTGTTGTCATTCCATATAATCGTCCTCATTCCGAAATAATTTCTTGCGTGATGCTTAGCACCAAAGCTGTGTATTTTGTGTCCAACCAGCTGGTCAAGTCTCCCATGAAAGAGAGGCAGTCCTGGATGACCCATACTCGCCACAAGTCTGACTCCATTGTCCTAGGCCAGCAACCAGTCCAGATGGACCACCACCATACATCAGGAATCATCCACAACAGTCAGAGAGGTACTATCATCCGACCGTACCACATTCTGAAATACTCCGACCTCCACCAGGTCAATGTGGGGCTGTTTGATCAGTGTGTACGACTAACCGGTCATGACAGACACACAGTTAATACCCTAGTAACCCGTGATAGTGCAGTTACAGAAAAGTTCCTAAACCAACTCACTACCATGCTGTCAATATTCACATCTTCACCCATGTTGGACAAGAGTTCATCTGACCTAGAACAAGATTTCTATAGGGCCTTTGAGAGGAGGACTAAGACCGTCGTTGATGGAATGGAATACGTACATCCTAGTAAAGTCCAGTTCATCTACCCGGGGGAAGATGTTATGTCCGATCTCTTGTATATAATTACTGAGCATCTCAAACTGCCTATCACTGCCAAGAGAAAGGCTGACATTCTGATGTACTGGATTGGCTACTTGGCGACAGAGGAACACCACGCAGGATCAGTAGATCACGTAGAATCCCGCAGTATGGTCCTGACCAATCAGTATCTTTGTTTTATTCTGGAAGATGTCATTAACTATCCCATTCCAGATTTTGCACGAGGACTTCCAAACTCACCCAGATACAAGGTGACCAACACAATGAAAATCAGTCATTTGAAGAGAGTACTTATGTTCAAAGACAACGAACACAAACTTAGCCTTATATTCTCGGATGAACCTGATGAAATCAATGTGGATACGTCTTCCGACCATTTCAGTTTGGAGAATAATTCTAGCGGTCGTCTGTCACCTCCGGAAATAGAGACCACAATCCTGGTTCAGAGCCCTAGAGACATTAACAAGTTCATGCTCCTCCTCAAAAACCAGTGGAGGGAGGTACAAGATGGCGAGGAACTGGAGGTTCATCTTCTGTGATAGCATTTCCCAGCACTCACCGGCTTGTTGTTAATTCGTGCAATAGTTGACATTCTTTAAGAAAAGTTTTAGTGTATACACCAAATATGTTTTTTTTGCCAAATGTAAATTACTGTTATGAACATGTACATTGTGTGTACTGGTCACTTATCATGTTATAATGATACTTGTTATTATCATGATTATGGTTGTATGAAATAATAAAAGTAAAAAATAAATTGATTGTTTAGGTTGTTAGTGTGTGGACTATATATGAATACAAACAGATGTACTTTTAAAGCTTAAATTATGGATTGCAAACTGTTGTTGAGGATAAAGAAAAGAAACTATATTTCAGAAATATCTTATACTATTAGATTTATTGTTTATATATATTACATGTATATAACTTTTAAAAAAATCTACGTCAGTCCGCATGGTTGTTTGGAAAGTTTTTAAAGGTCGAGGACATTTTCAATCTTTGTCATACTAGTACATTCAAGAAAATAAAAATGAGCACATTATCATATGTAAAAGAACATGAATTGATTTTGTTGTTTCAAGAAGAGTGAAGTTTTATTCCATTCGGTGTTAATATATAGAAATCAGTCAACCCCGGTGCAGCATTATACACTGTACAGAACCTGATAACTGAAGCCTCAAGAATGAAGTGCAAACACTGTCTCATTCTGGGAGATTTCAACTATCCTAATATAGACTGGGATTTACTGTGTACAAAAAGTGAAAACTCTGCTGAGCAGAAATTCATAGGTTGTCTGCAGGACAACTTCATGTTCCAAACCAACAAGGTGGAGAGGAACGAACATTCCAACCATTTTGGATCTTGTGATCACAAAGGATTCCCAACATAACTTTTACTATTGAAAATGTCCATTGAAAGGTTGGTTGCTCCCCAAAAAATTGAGGACATCCCCCTTCACTTCTTACCACAGTACAGTGATATCAAGGAAATGAAGTATTGTATGCCCAAAAAATTGGATGTGAAAGGAAGTTGGCCTTGAAAAAAATCGGTCCACTTGAATTGACGTTCTATGGTACGTGTCACCCTTTTTGCCTAAAATTATATAGTTTTTTGTTTGTAAATACATGTATTGCAAATTTTATCCTGCTCATATGATATAACTGATTCACATATGACCCAATTTGTTCAATTATTTTTTACTCCGAATAAATTTTAAAAAATATATTTATATAGTTAAAGTTGAAAATAAAAATCATTTGAATTTATTGTAAAAACGTTTCTACCAAATCTGGATATGATATGACGTAATGTTGTAAAAGATACCTATTTAATAGACAGAAGCCCACGATATGATACTTTTGAAAAAGATACCTCGAGCAACTCTCGTATATAAAATGTCATAAAGATATGTAAAGACTGATTTATATAGAGAATGGCATTATTTTTATTTGAGCAACAAAGAACACGAAGAAGTGTTACGATTTCTGGATATTCTAGGGACAGACCTTACAGTGTACATGTATGATTATATGTCATTTCTATTCAGGATCTTCCCAAAACAAGATACAATTCAATATCTAGTCACAGGTAATATACTACCGCATATTTGAGTTCATCTCACAATATGCGCCTTTATCAAAGCTCTATCCTTGTATTATATGTCATCATTCACCTCCTTTTTGTGGAAAAAAACAAATAAATGTGATAAGCCGGAATTTATTTATCCATCCATACAGAGTCGGTACTTAGTCACTAGGTTTACGGGTTATCTCCCCTTTTCTATGAATCAATGAAAGTGAAAGGTGGGTGATGAAAGTATCCAATTTATTTTTTTGTATTATGAAATACCCTCCCACCTCACCCCTTGAGCTAGGCGTTAAGTATATACCCTTTCTCCTTTTGTTTGTTTAAATCACGTTTTTCATTGCTTTGCATGGTTTTGCTTTACCAAATTTATTAAAGTTATGCAAATGTTATTGAGAATCTTTTTCTGCTGTGGGTTTTTGTTTTTGTCTTTTCAGATATTTAAAGATTTTTTTGAAGGAGACTGACGATGCTGATCAGAATTGCCTGCTATTTCCGTATTCTGGGACCTTTGCAGTTTGGAATGATCTCTAGCCGAATGCGATGCGTGACATGGGTCAACTTGGCGAATTATCCATGCGAGGAGTTCGGGGAAAGACAGTAGACTATACTTCACAGTGGTCGTATTGGCGAAATCGTCACCTTCAATTTAACCATTGAACTGTTGATTTTGTTTTGCTTAACTGCGGGACTGAATATCGCGCATGCGCATAGGAACCCTGGGGTGGCAAAAAGAAAAACTTATCATGGTCGAAAAGTGTTGTGTCGTTGGGTGTACCAAAAGAGCTACGAAGGGTTGCAAGGTTTTTTTTCTTTAAGTTTCCCCTAAGTAAAACAAAAAGGCGAGCATGGGTTAATGCTGTTAATAGGAAGGGATGGTTACCAAACAAAAACAGTAGGATATGTAGTGAGCATTTTGAGACGGGTTGGCACTCGGACGATCGTGACGACCCCAACTACAGACCGACTCTATTTTCCTACAAATGTACACCTGAAGAGAACAGTGAACGATTTTCAAGAGCATATAGGAGAAACCTGACTAAGGTTTGCTTCTTTTTATTATAAAGTACGAATATTTACATCAACATTGGTTTATAATTAACGTCAACCCGAGATTCCTCTGTCGTGTTTTTACGCCCGTTAATTTGACTTGACATTTAGCGTGATTTGAGCTGGTCCCAATATTCCACGCTAAACACTTCGTATTGACTGTTGTACCAAATTTATATTTTAGGTGATTAAGAATTTACAATTAATTAGCATTTAATTATGCACAAGTCATGTTATATTTGAATGCATTAAATTATTAATATGTCATTTTCTGGTGATGCAGATTTTCCTGGTATAAAGACTCTTTGGTACAATTTCACATTCATTTTAGACTAGTGATTAGATTAATTGAAACTGTCCTCTTAACAATAGTGCAACTGACAAGCTGTTTAATTATTGAAATATTCAGTATGCAGTTGCTATTTGTTTTGAAAAGTTTCACAAACTACCCCATCTTTGCTGGTTGAAGTATGCTGGTCATTGATATGGGGAACCTGGATTCAAGTAGTGCCATAAAGTAAAATCTATCCATCTATGTTAAATTTACTGGTTAAATTTGATGGAAAAAAGTATTAGTCATATTTCTATGTAGTATATAACAGCATCTCTATATTATACAGTTATTGTACTATAAGCATGAAAAGTTTTTGTTTGTCGAAATGTGCATTGAATTTGTATATAGGCCAATACACAAGTCAAAAAAAATCTTAATGGAAAAAAAGCTGAACATCAGGTTTACCCCTTTTTTTATATACAAAATAAAGTTAATTTTTATTTGTAATATTATTGTAAGTTGTAATTTATTTTTTCTGTAGACTTTTGAGGAAGCAGCCGTAAAGCAAGAACATTTGGAGAGATGCAGATTAGAGGCATCTGTAAAAATGCACAGCTACAGTTTCCCTGAAGAGCTGCAGACATCCCCAGGAAAACTGTACAATGTCAATGTATATCCTGAAGAGGATGACATTGATATAGGTGTAGTCATAACAGCTGATGAAGGTTTGGATTGGGTTTTTTTCCCCAAAAGTGTTCACTTTGAATTCGGCACACATTTAAGCACCAGATTTTTTTTTTTTAAAAAAGAAGTCTCACAACTGCAGCGATATTGAGTAACGTGCATCAGCATGTTATGAAAATTACTTATTTGCACACACTGTTGCCATTATGAGATGTCATTCAAAAAATAATATTTCGGTGCTTATATCATGTATATTTACATACCCTTTAACTCCTTGCCTTGTCTGCAAATCATTTAAATTTGATATTTTGTTTTACTTCAAAATGTCTGTATTATCCTTTGGCTAAGTTACAATTAATGGAAGACTTATAGCAATTGCCAACTTTTTCAATGTGTGATTTTTGATTTTCATGTCTGACATTTACATTTGCCCTGCATTTAACATTTGTGATGTTCGCTATATCTGCAATTTTGTATACATGTAGCCGTATAAGGAATTTGTTAAATTTAAATAGCTGGGGATCCAAGATAACTTTGTTACATCCATGAATTCTCAATATCTGTGTTCATACTAAACAAGTTTTACTGTTTAAGCAAAGTTCATGTAGATTCAATGTAAATATCATATTTTGAATTCTTATATTGATAATGATTTTAGATGATGACATTTAAGTTGCTGGTAACTTTAATTAATGAAATCAATATTATTTCTTACACACATACAAAATCTGTATGTCTTAATGTGGTGGAGACCAATTGCATTGTACTACTCAATATATACATTTAGGTTCACAGTGTGACCCAGATCCTCTTCTTCAAGAAAATACTTTGTTGAAGGAGGAAAACATACTTTTGAAGGAAAAGCTTCACAAACTGCAATGGGGTGTGAACAAAATCAAAGATGATGATGTTGCAACTAGATTCTATACCGGATTGCCCAGCTTTGCTGTTTTCCTCTGGCTGTACAAGTAGAGTATTTTTTTATTAATATATTCTTAAATGGGCATTCTATATTTGATACAAAGGCATGTAATACTGTAAATCACGTTTTATTCGCGAGACTGTATTTAAGAAATAAAGTCTGCGTTTTCGTGAATGTTGCAGAATAACCTTCAAGGTCGAGAAACTTCTCTTCAAGGTCGAGAAATATTGTTTGAAAGATAAATGCGGAGGTGTTAGCCGAGGCTTTTATATTTCAAACAACATTTCGAGACCGAGGAGGTTATTCTGCATCATTCACGACAACAAGGACTTTATTTGTATTCTACCAACACCGATAAATACGGCTGATCGTTTCCTCTAAAGAGAAATGAATTAGGTCACCATGTCTCGATTATGCTGTTTCATTTAACACCAGAGGTAAAATTTGTTTGCTTACCTGTGTATGGAATGCAGACGATCTTAGTTTTTGTTACATTAAAAATAGCCTTTATTAAATTACAAATTTGTTCGTTATATGTATTGATCAGTTAAAACGAATATACAATAACAAAATCATGTTCCTGTTTTACTGCTAAAATCACATTGTTTAATGTGTAGGGAGGTCCGTGGAATAGCCCCGCTTAGCTATAAAAACCGACTTCATCAGCAAACTTAATGAAATTTACAGTGTTTATTTCTTACAAAGACGACACATCGATGCGGTCTAAACAAGTATTCATTCTACAGCCAAACATGCATTTGAATTGTTTTAATTTGATACATGTTTCTGATCTGAAAATTATTTGATGACGTTCGTGATTTATTGGAGAATAATGTCCAGCGGTTTCCTTTGATGTTTTCAAAAATCGTGCCACTGGTAGAATTTCTCGTAATTAAGCGAGACAGTGAGCTCGCGAAAATTTCTTTCTCGCGTTTAAAATTATTCCTTATAATTACATAGAGGAAAAACAACAATTCGTGAAAATTATGTCTCGCTAATAAACAGTCAATGATTATCTCGCGAAAATAAAGTGTCACGAAAATTCAGTGATCTACAGTATCAAGTAAATTATAATAGAAAAAGAGTTTTTAAAAATTTTGCAAAGTGAAGGTATCTTCTTATGATTAGAACAGAAAAATCTTTTCATATGGGGGGCAAATTATCGAGTATACATTTAAATAAACCCCCCCACTTGAAAAGTGGATGGGTGTATAATGATTGGGATGTCTGTATGTTATGCTTTTGGGTACCCTTCTCTTATCTGGAATTCCTCTCATACATGTGGCAGCAGGTGATACCATTTAGTGAGCTCAGTGCTCACATTACCACTAATTTTCTTTTGCAGTTTCCTACTTCCAAAGGCAAGGTGCATGACCTACTGGGTTGGTGAAGGTACATCTGAGACAGGAAGACAGCGGCCAAATAAAAGCACTCTCCCTCTCATTGACCAGTTGCTGGCAGTTCTTATGCGTCTGAAGGTTGCGCTTCTAGTAACTGATATTGCTGAACGATTTGGAATTTCACCTTAAGATTTTCTTCCATCTTTACAACATGGATTTGCCTTCTTCATGCAGAGCTCTGTGCTCTGAATAAGTTTCCCTCAAGAGAAAAAATTGCATCTTGTTTGCCTGAATGCATGAAAAAGTTTCCAAATTTAAGAGTAATTCTCGACTGTACTGAAATATATATACAGAAATCATCAAGTTTAGTTAACCAGAATTTAAACTTTTTCAAATTATAAACATCATACGACAATGAAGTTTTTGATAGGGATTTCACCTGCTGGAGTTATTTCTTTTGTGTCAAATGCTTGGGGTGGAAAAACTTCAGACAGGCAGATGGTTATTGATAGGGGGTTTTTGGATTTATTAGAACCAGGAGACAATGTAATGGCTGATAAAGGTTTTACAATTAGAGATTTACTGCATGAAAGAGGTTGTACTTTAAACATTCCACAATTCAACACTAAAGGACAATTTTCAGTTGATGAAATTCTGTACACACAAGAAATTGCAAAGGTTCGCATTCATGTCGAGAGAAGTATAGGTAGGATTAAATGTTTTCATATTTTTGATGGTGTAATGCCACTTTCACTTGCACTTTTGTTAAATCAAATGTTTCAAGTTGCTAGTTTCTTGACAAATCTTGATGTTCCACTCATTGAAAATTAAATGTACAAAGAGATTTTACTTTATTCTAAGTCACTCAATGAAATGTCTCAATAAAATGTCAATTTTGTAGCACACATTGATGAAATAGAAATGAGAGTATCAGTATCTGAGTATATGTTGGTTAGATGCTTAGAAGGTATATTTGAAGGTACTGTAAATCACTTTTTATTAGCGAGAACTTAATTTTAGCGTAATTACGCGAGAGAGTGTGATCGCGAAAATTTAATTCTCGCGTATAATAGTATTCCTTAAAATTATATAGAGGAATAATCACAATTCGTGAAAATAATGTCTCGCTTATCAAGAGTCGATGACTATCACGCGAAAATAAGAAATCGCGTAAATTTAGTGATCTACAGTATATTGGGTACTTGAAAAATGTAGGGGGGCATATGCTGTTTATATGTTTTATGTGTAACTTTTATTGAATTTTACCCTTGTGAACCCCAACCAATCTTTAATAACAACTTTACCTATACATGTAAAAAAGTGAATTCAAGAATGAATCTTTTTATTTTCTTAATTCTTGCAGTTTGCAATCTCTATTTTTGGACAATAGATGGTTATAAAATGCAAATGTATTAGTTAGATCACATGAAATGTATTGTCAAAATTAAAAGCTTATGTATTTGAATAAATGCCTACTATTTTTAACTCAATGAAAACAAATCTGTAGATAGAGTTTATGTATTTTTAAATGTTCCTACACATGTATTTTTAAACTGTTCTTATATGTCATAGAAAATGCACCAAAATCAGTTGTTATTATATACTCTTAGTCTAATATTTACTCTAATTTGTTTTAAAAAAATGTATGCATCTTATTGTAGTCAAATCAATGAATACAAGATTTTGGAATTAAAATATACTGTTTCACTTATATTTAATAAGATAGCTTCAGTATAAATATTTCAATCCACATGAAAAATTTAATTTACATGTAAGTGGATCAACGCGGACGTGGGGAAAACATTGGATTGAAATTTGAGTTTGAAATTCATTTTCAATCCACCTGAGCTGTCTTCAAAAGCAAAGTGTGCATGTATGATCCAAAAGACAAATATTTCAATTCCCAAATATATGTTGGTTGAAATTTATACTGATATGAATTTATTAGCCTATAATATTATCTTAAGACACTGGTAAAAGTCATAGAAGACATTTTTTTCTGGAGACGGCCATATATATATGATTCTAGAGGGAGGGGGGGAGGGGGGCAAATTGTCGAGTCAGATCATGCTTTGTATATAACAATTAATTTTTAGGATGACAAGTTTTTTTTAGTTTTGTCTTCGATGAAATATGTTTGACAGCTTTCTTATTTATTTCCAAGACTATTAAGCCTCTCCAGCCCACACATACATAATACCAAACAGAAATAAAATATTTGTCACTTCATGTATTGTTTTAAAACGGTGGACAGAAAATTCTTATTTATATACAGTGCATTATTTTCAAACGATACCAAAAATGGGATTATTTGTTTTCTGTGTCAATCAGTAATAATGTGCCTTCCGTTCTAGAGCTGAGGGATTAAAATGAAATGCAATTGTGAACTGCCCGGCCTTGTACCTATCGATCGACCATAAAGTGGACGATCGTCGAGAATGGCAGATCGGGTATAGCGTCCGCGACTAAGGGTAGTACAGACTGTACCTCGGTAAAATGGGGGGTATCTAGAGGGCTGCCATCGAAATGAATGGATATGTTTAAATTTAGGATGGAGTTGACTATTTCCAATATGTCTTTTTTTCAAAGATCACCCCAACTCCTCTGCTAAGTGCTGTAACGAATTTTTTTTAGCTTGTTTAAACTTTCCCGGATCGCCATCTTACTCTATGTAAACACTGCCGTAACCAAGGCTTTGCGGAAATTAGTTACGTATTTCACAGTCATATTATTGGGAATAAAAAGAAAAAAAGGCTCCTTAAAAAGAAAATTTAAATTTATTTACAAAATTTTACTTAATAATTTATTGCAAAACTTTTATTCATGTTAATGTCAAAGTACACGTGAATCTTTGCCACTCTTCTCTTTTGCCACCCCTGAAGCGTTATGCGCATGCGTGCATATTATCATGAAAGAGTCTATTTATTTTTTTGAATTATGAAATAATTTATCATAATTTTCAGTTTTAAAGGTTAAGTTTCAGTCAAAAAAGTAAAACGGATTTTCTTATTAACATTGATATTGCTCGATGGCAAGTATTTTATTGGATTGAAACAGATCGATTTTCCACCCGTCCATGCTTTAACATTGGCACATGGTACAAGAGATTACAATGTGGTAATAATAACCAACTTCATCAGCAGATTTTGAATGAAGAAAAGCGTACTTAGTGAAATAATATTCAAACTAAATGAGCTAATGTAAAAATAGGTTTGAACTTCAACTTCATTCGGTCCATGTTATTCAAGGTCATTGGTCAATAAACATCAGCACTCATGGTGGCCTATATTTAGTTACTTAGGTCCCTTAGCCTATCTTTAGGGGATTTTAAAATGGGAATATCCATAATTATAATTCTTACAGTATGAGTATGCTTTTGTAACTTTGGATTGGTTGCATTTATCAGTTTATTTAAAATATGGAGTGATATTTAACAAAAATAAATAAATGTTCAAGGATAGGGTAACCCTAGCTGTGCCATACCAGTCTACCTTTTTCCTTAAAACAGTGAATAAATAGAAAAAAAAAATACAGATTGAGAAGTTATAAAAGTTTGATAAATCTTTGGAAATGTTATTTATAGCTTGATTCACAAAGGGACAGAACTCTAATTAAAGTATATAAATTTCAATCAAGGCCATTCATCTTTATCAAGGGTCCAAAGAGAGGCATGAAAGATATGCAATTGCGACAAAGGCAGTAATTAATTG